GGAACTGACCTAGGGTTCTAAAATCAATCTTGCAACTGTGTGAGGGGGGTGGTCTTGAGAGGCCATGTGAAGGCCCCAAGTCCTCATTTCATGGACAGTAAAGTTTTTTTCCTAGGAATCTGTCCTAAAACTCCAAATGTACCCTCTGAGAGAAGAAGAAGAGAATATACCTCCTTTGGTGTTAACAGGAATCCTTCCCGTCATTGGTAGTTTTAGGGGGTATCAGACCAGCCACACACACCCCCAAAGGCAACTGTGTTTGTGGAATGTATGACCTATGCCTCTTGGCTATAGCTAATTAGACCACAAACAGTTCATGGGACATCTGACCCAAGCCCGAAAATTTTGAATTGAGTCTCTAAGATAACTGGGACTTTTCTCAATGGTCTCTGGAAGAGAGAGCATGTAAACTGGAAGGCAAGGGCACAGAGATGCAGAAAAGGCTATAGAAAGAGGGGAATGGAGTAGACCCTCAGGAAAGGCAGGGGAAGAGGCCATCAGTCCTGGAGAGGGGATTGAGAGGTAGGGTGTCCACTTGCTGATCCTGGCTGTTTATTTTGCTTTGGGATTGTGAGAGACTTCTTTGGGCTTGTAATAACATAAACACACACACACACACACACACACACACACACACACACACACACACACCCTCCTTGCCCAAGCCAGCTCAGATAGGTTTTTGATACTTGTGATCAAATTACCTTCTTAATCATGAGTGCCTCTTATATGAAATTCTAGGGTATGGAAATTTTCTTCTGTGTACCTTCTTAAGAACCACAAGTGTAAGAGTTATAAAGAATGTTGAGTCACTGAAGGGAAAATAGTTAGAATAAGAAAGAATGGGGAATCAGTAAAAGAGGGGAGTGAAACAATAGAAGAACAGGCCAAAAGCAAGAAAAGAAGGAAGGCCAAGGAAAAGAAACCTTGGCCTGGGCCCTCACTCTGCCTGAGGGAGTTGCTGCATCAGAGGACCGGAAGAGCCTGGCAAGGGCACTGCCAGCTCCCCTACAGGCTTATGGATGGAACCAAGGCTGGAGGATCTTGATGTGTTGGGCAAATAGGGAGATTCAACCAGATTCAAATAAAAGATCCCTCAGCCTTCCCCAGGAAGGGCATCAATCTCAATATGAGATCAGAGAGACCTCGAGCATTTGCAGGAGACCCCACAGAGAAAAGAGAACAATGACACTGAAGCCCTGGAGGAGGAGCTTCTGACACTTCTGGGGAGCCAAAATAGTAAAAGGCAATTGATTGTAGCATATCGATTATTTATCATTTTAGATGTGGGACAATGTTAGAGATAGTTTTCAATTAGCATGTGTTTTTTTATTGCTTTGTTTTAGTGAGTATAAACACAGTAAAGAAATTGTTATTTAAAATCAACAAAGACAGTGGCTGCTTCTCCTGCCCGAGCCATCAGGGACATGGGGGCCCAATTCACACACAGAATCCTGACATAGTCTGCAGAGGGAGAAGGGGGAGAAGGAAGCCTCAAGCCCCTTTCAGATCCTCGAGGCCACCGAAAGCCTAGACAGGCTAGACGCAGAGGCGATGGTCTGTGTGTTTGGTGTAACCCATTATGTGGCCTCAGCTGTGCAAAAATGTGCTGGGAGCCAAGGAGGGGTGGAAAGAGAATTGATGTGATTGGAAAGTGAGGGGACTGAGTGTATGCACATGGAGGGGGCTCTGAGCTGAGAGCAAGGAGGTGCAAGGGCACTCGGGAGGGGGCAGAGGGTGGCAGGAGTCCCTGCAAAATATGATAGGAGGCTGGAACTGTAGAGAAAAATGCCCAGTGTGAAATTTCAAGTGGCCAGAGGATTTTTAAGAACGGGGATATCTAGTATCTCATTTCAAAAATTGTGTATCTCTGCAATGTTAAACTTGGTTCTGACCCTCCATCAAAGCCTGCCATTCACATGTATGCCATACGTGGCCAATTCTGGGAAAACCAAAGAAGGTCTGAACTCCATGCATGAGCTGGCCTGGAGGTGAAAGCAGAGAATAGGTCTAGGAGGTGAAACTTATGGAGATGACAAGCCCACCAGGGAGGGACTTGGATGACAGGGTGACAGGTGACACTGAGACCAGCAGCCCCTGGGAATACACAGCAATTAGGCAAAGACATGGATCTCCTCCGGGATGAGGCCAGGGAGACCAGAGTCCATTTTAGCTAATACTCAAATAAGGACACCCGGCTAACATATGGTTTATAAAAACTTCCTATTTATTAGGACTTTCATTGGTTTGCTAGCAAACCTGGATTCTCAAATCTAATTTCCCCTCAAGATCTTAAGGTCACTAACTCAGGATTCTCTTCTAATAGGATTTTTTTGTTTGTTTTTAGAATAGTCCTTACGGCTGGGGAGGGAATGCTATATATGTTGATAATTCCAGGAGACCCAGGTTTTAAGATGTCAAAGGACAAGAAGAGAGAGAAAAGGGGATCCCTGGGTGGTGCAGCAGTTTAGCGCCTGCCTTTGGCCCAGGGCGCAATCCTGGAGACCCGGGATCAAGTCCCACATCTGGCTCCCGGTGCATGGAGCCTGTTTCTCCCTCTGCCTGTGTCTCTGCCTCTCTCTCTCTCTCTCTCTCTCTCAATCTGTGACTATAATAAAAAAAAAAGAGAGAGAGAGAGAGAGAAAATACAGGCTTCCTTTGGGAAATCCATTTTAATTTGCTTTCCTGCATGTCCCCTACCTCCAAGGGGCATGAAAGGTCTAGAATGATCCTCATTCTTTCTGCTTTTCCATCTTCCTTTCCCCAAGTCTCTCTCCAAGTTATATCCTTCCAAGACACAAATTTGTAAGGTACGCAAAGGCAAGAAAATGACCCTGTTTCAAAGCTTCGAAGTCTAAAAGAATCCTGTCTTTGCACCTATGTTGGAAATCGCCTGTTTCAGGAACTATTCATGGAGGACACGCTTTAGAGACAAAATACGTGTTCTGTCCCAACACTTGCTCCTTCCTTATTAGAAATGTGAACTGAAGACCACATGAAATATATCCTTGATCCTAAGGCACTGGAATGAGGCACAATATGAGGCTCAAATGCCTAGCTGAAAAACAGCCTTTCCCTCCTTTACTGCACATCTTGGGATGGTTTTAATCTTTTAGTGACCCCAGAGTTAACACTCAAGTAGAAGACCTTGATAATTTTTCACAACCCTCCCACCAGAAAGATCTCTTAAGCCTTCAGTACCAATAAAGACAGCCAAACCAAATCAATATCCACATGTAGAGGGAAAATATTTGGGGTCCTTGCTTTTAGATTGGGTTAATGTGTATTAGTTGAACTAACATATACTAAGCGTATACCACACACCTACCATGTTATTTATGTCCTTCCTGCCTCAGGAGGGACCCAGCAAACTCAATTTTAAAAGGGGATCTCTGGGATCCCTGGGTGGCTCAGTGGTTTGGCGCCTGCCTTCGGCCCAGGGTGTGTGATCCTGGGGACCCAGGATCAAGTCCCACGTCCGGCTCCCTGCATGGAGCCTGCTTCTCCCTCTGCCTGGGTCTCTGCCTCTCTCTGTGTGTGTGTCTCTCATGAATAAATCAATAAAATCTTTTAAAAAGTGGGGGGGAATCTCATCCCTAAATGTGGAGGAGGCGGTGGAGTTATATAGGAGAATGCCCCAGAAAGTGAGGGTGAGGCATCCAGAGCCAACATGGGGAGCAGGTCTTCCCAACAGGCTTGCTCTCCTCTGGGTCTCTGATGTTCCCACCTCTGAGCTGGCACTTGTGCACCTGCATGTGCATGTATATGTGTGCATATACATGTTTTCATCAGAGCTCATCTCTTATGCTAGACAGCTCCAAAGGACTTCCCTTAACCCATCTCCCACATTAGACATGTCTACTCTGGAAAAGCCACAGGCCTTGGTAGATGTGTTGCCTAGGAGAGCAGTTGTTCAGGGCAGCTGCAAGGTTGGGGGTGGCTCGGTTAGCCTTTGGGAACATGTATGTCAGATCTCTTCCTACAGATGCTGAGACAATTACTGCCTCTAACATTCATTTGAAAGTTGTTTTGTTTTTTTACAGGTTTTAATTATTTATTTATTTGAGAGAGATAGCAAAAGAGAGCACAAGGGAGAGAGAGCACAAGCGGGAGGGAGAAGCAGGCTCCCCACTGAGCAGGGAGCCTGACTCTTGGGGCTCCACCCTAAGACCCTGGGATCATGACCTGAGCTGAAGGCAGATACTTAACCGACTGAGCCACCCAGGTGCCCCAATTTGAAGGTTTCATGGTAAAATAACTAATTTTGCCTTATTCAAGATAATGGAAATATATAATAGAGATCAATGAAATACCATTTATCAGGCAGATTTAGAATATGCTGGGGTGAAAGCATGTCCTTGGAATCAGTGAAGTCTCAAAAGAATAAAAAGTCAAAGCTATGCTCTAAGGATTCCAGTCTTTTCATTTCTCTTAAGATTGATACTTTTCTTTCTACCAAAGGAACAAAAAGACTGATTTTTTAATCAACCCAGAACTCATTTTTGCAGTGGCAGCAGCAGACCCCAGGGGATTTGTCAGCCTAGGAGAGAGCTTCCCAGGGGTCTGCAAGCTATCATGCAGGTGTCTAGACCATTCTGTACCATTCCTTGGAGTTCAGGTGAGGAAAAAGGATAGAGGTAATGTGGTGAGGAATTCAGTTTACTGAGCACAGTGCCTCATGCTAAATAGTCATGTTTGTGGTTAGGACAATGACTGTGTGGCCCCTAGGAATTTGAAAATGAGAGAAATAATTAAAGCATGAAATCAACTTGGGACAGATCAGAGCAGAAGTCTCAAAGTCACCAGAGAAAGATGGGGCTCAGCGTGACTCAAGGTGTTCCTGAGCAGGGAGGTTGGTCTGCAGTGGCAGCTGAGCAGGGGTGCTGAGAGCCCTGACCTCAGCAGGACATCACTGAGTCTCCAGACAATCTCCCAGGCCTGTCGCCCCATCTAGGCTCACCAGCAGATGGCTCCCCCAAATACACCCCTCAAAAACTCACGGATCCTGCTGACGTGATCCACATGGCTGTCGCGGCTGCTTCCCCTTCTCCCCACTCCAGGCAGTTCCTGCTGTGGCTTGTCTGGCTGCAAACCCCAGCAGACCTTTTGAAGGCCTGAAAGTCGTCCCTGCTGGTCTCTTTTCCTTTGAGGGTAACTGGGGACTGAAAGCCCAATGTGGATAGAACGGCAGTCTGTGGGCATAGCACAAAAGAGGGAGAGGCAAGAATTACTGAAAATTGGTATTTCTCCTTAATATTCTTCAGTTACAAAGCACTGAGGTCACCAAAGCAAAATGGAAGACAAGGGATCCTTGGCCAGGGCCACTGCCCTGAGTCTTGGGTTTTACAGAATTCCATTTCTGAGCAACTCAACAGTTGCTGGAAACGATAACCTTGGTGCTGTAGTTAGAACTCAGAATGAGCAGAATTCCCATCACTCTGTTCTTGCTTGTCCAGAATGGCAGTAACCACATAAGGTTTATGACACATGGCCTGGGCGAGGGTCCCTCACTGAGTCAGTTTTTGTCCAGAATGCCAACGCCCTTCTTTGGGAAAGCCATATGTATTTTCACTGAGGGCCACCTTTATTAATAACCAAAGACTACATAAACTATTTATCAGGAAAGTGAGTTACTAAGAATTTCTCAAAGCTGGTTTTGTATACTAGATTTTCAAGAACAGGAATCACCAAGAACCTTAATTTTGAATTCCACTAAGCCTGGCTACTCTGTAAAGCCCTCACTGGGTCCGTGCACACAAAAGCAGCCGGAATTCTCTCAGCTCTCGGGATGGACATTCTGCAATCAGTATGTCATCAGCGTTAGCTTGAATTGGTCAACAGGTTTTAAAATAATCAACAGATTCGGTTTTATATTTACAGAATAATTCTGCAGATAGTACGTAGGAACTTAGACTTCCTCCTACCCACTCCGCAAACAGTTTCTCCTATTATTGAGGTATAATTGACATATAACATTGTACTAGTGCAAGATGTGCAACATACTAATTTGATAGATGTATACATATTGCAAAATGATCGCCATAAGAAGTCTAGTTAACATCTATCACCCCACATAGTAGTATTTTTTTTCTTGTGATGAAAACTTCTAGAATCTACTCTCTTGGCAACTTTCAAATACACAATACAGATTGCTAACTATAGTTACCATGCTGTACATTCCATTCCCAGAATGCATTTATCTTATATCTGGAAGTTTGTACCTTTAACTACTTTCACCCCTTTTGCCCACCCCCAAACTCCTACCTCTAGCAACCAGTAATCTGTTTTCTATGAGTTTGGTTCTTTAGATTCCACATATAAATGATACCACACAATATTTGTCTTTTTCTGTCAAAGACTGCCAAGGAGATAACCCTCTGTGTTTTCTTCTTGGAATTTTGTTGTTTCAGGCCTTACATCAGTCTTTTATCCATTTTGAATTGTGTGTGTGTGTGTGTGATAGCGTTAGATAGTGGTCTGATTTTATTCTAATGTGTGTGCCTATCCAGTTTTCTCATCAGAGAGAGTATCATTCCCACTGTATATTCTTGGCTCCTTTGTCATAAATTAATTGAACTTAGATAAGTGTGAGTGTATTTCTGGGCTCTCTATTTTCCATTGATCTATGTGTTTGTTTTTATGCCAGCACCATACTGTCTTGATTGCTATAACTTTGTAATATCTTTTTAATCAGGAAGCATGATATCTCTAGCTTTGTTCTTTTGCAAGATCACTTTGACTATTCAGGCTCCTTCATGGTTTAATACAAATTTTATAATTATTTCTTCTTTTTCTGTGAAAAACGCCAATGCCATTGAAATTTTGATAGGGATTGCATTGACTCTGTAGATTGCTTTGGGTAGCATAGACACTTTAAAAATATTAATTTATACAATCCATGAACATGGAATATCTTTCCATTTATTTGTGTCTTCTTCAATTTCTTTCATCAGTCTTATAGTTTTCAGTGTACAAGTAAGTCTTTTACCTCCCTTGTTAAATTTATTTATTCCTATGTATTTTATTCTTTTTACCATTGTAAATAGAATTGTTTTCTTAATTTTTCCTTCTGATAGTTCATTATTAGTACATAGAAATGTACCTCTTTGTATTGATTTTTTTATATTGATGTTATACCCTGTAGCTTTACTGAATTTGTTTATTAGTTCTAACAGTTTTTTGGTAGAATCTTTAGGGTTTTCCATATATAATATTATATCATCTGCAATTAGAGACACTTTTATTTCTTCCTTTCTAATTTGAATGCCTTTTATTTCTTTTTCTCGACTAACTGCTCTGGCTAGGGCTTCCAGTACAATGTTGAATAAAAATAGTAAGAGTTGGCTTGTTCCTGATGTTAGGGGAATAGATTTCAACTTGTCATTACCGTGTATGATGTTAGCTATGGGCTTGTCATATATGGTCTTTGTTATGTTGAGGTGCATTCTCTCTCTAGTCAGCTCATTGAGATTTTTGATAATGAGTAGATGTTAAATTTTATTTATTTATTCATAAGAGGCACACACAGAGAGAGGCAGAGACACAGGAAGAGGGAGAAGCAGGTTCCTTGCAGGGAGCCCAATATGGGACTTGATCCCTGGACCGCAGGATCACGACCCGAGCCAAAGGCAGACGCTCAACCACTGAGACACCCAGGCATCCTGATAATGAGTACACACTAAATTTCACAAAATACGCTTTCTGCATCTATTGAAATGATCATATGATCTTTATCCTTCATTTTGTTAGAGAGGTATATCACACTGATTGATTTGTAGGTATTGAACCATCCTTGCACTCCTGAAATAAATCCTATTTGATCAAGGTGCAAGATCCTTTTAATGTATTATTGAACTTGGTTTCCCAATATTTTGTTGAGAACTTTTGCACCTATGGTCATCAGAGATATTGGCATGTAATTTTGTTTTCTTGTAGTGTCCTAGTCTGGTTTTGATATCAGAGTAATAAGTATTCCCTTTTCTTCTATTTTTCGGAAGAGTTTGAGAAGGATTAGTATTAATTCGTATTTAAATATTTGGTAGAATTCATTGGTAAAGCCATCTGTTCCTGAACTCTTGTTTGTTGGGAGGTTTTTCATTACTGATTCAATCTCCTTACTAGTAATTGGTCTGTTCAGGTTTTCTTTTTTTTTTCATTATTTAGTTTTGGTAAATTGTATCTTTAGGAATTCATCCATTTCTTCTAAGTTGTCCAAATTGTTTGCATATAATTGTTCACAGTACTCTCTTCTGATTTTTTGTATGTGTGTGCTTTCACTTGTAATATATTTTCTTTAATTTCTAATTTTATTTATTTGAAACTTTTCCCCCCTTGATAAGTCAGCTAAAGATTTGTCTATTTTGTTTGTCTTTTCAAAAACCAGCTTATCCTCTTTGATCTTTTATATTATCTTTTTGGTCTCTATTTTACTTATTTCTTCTTAGATCTTTGTTATTTCCTCCCTCTACTAACTTTGGGCTTAGTTTGTTCTTCTTTTTCTAGTTCCTTGAGGTGTAAAGTTAGGTTATTTACTTGGGACCTTTCCTTTTTCTTAATGTAGGCATCTATTGCTATGAATAGATTCCCCTATTATTAACAACTTGCATTAGTGTCGCACATTTGTTACAATTAATAACCAATATTGATACATTATGATTAACAATAGTCTATAGTTTACATTAAGTTTCACTCTTAGTATTGGATAGCTTTATGGGTTTTGACAAATGCATAAAGACATGCATCTACCATTACAGTATCATACAGAATAGTTTCACCACCCAAAAAATTCCCCATGTTCCACCTATTCATCCCTCTCTTCCTGAATACCAAAACTACTTTCCTCTTTTGGGCCTTTACACTTTGTTCTCTTTTCTTTCTAAAAAGAAATGAAAATGGGTGGAGTAAATGAATGGGAAGATCTTTTTCTCTGCTTATGTGAACTGCAGCAAAAATGTTTAAGAACCACTAGTTTAGGATAAGTTTGAGTCTGGCATTCCATGGTGACAATTTTCCAAAGAGCAGACTGGCCAAGAAATATTATTGTAACTAAAGTATTTCCCCTTTTCCACAGGGGATATGTTCCAAGATCCCTAGTGGATGTCTGAAACTGCAGATAGCACTGAACCCTGTATATGCCATGCTTTGTCCTACACATACATACCTATGATAAAGTTTAATTTATAAGTTACACACAGTAAGAGATTAACAATAAGTAATAGTAAAATAGAATAACTGTAACAATATTTTATAATAAAAGTTATGTGAATGAGATCTCTCTCTCTCTCTCTCTCAAGCTATCCCATTGTACTATATTCACCTTTCTTCTTGTGATGATGTGAGATGACAAAATGCCTATGTGATTAGATGAAGTGAGATAAATGACATCAGCACTGTGATGCAGGGTTGGGCTACTATTGATAGAAGTAATGATATTTCAGAAAGAGAACTGATCTGTTTCCAGACCATGGTTGAACATGGGTAACTGAACTGAAGAAAGTGAAATCACAGAGAAGGGGGGACTGATGTATTTATGAAGCCCAAAGATGGCAACTGAGAGTTGAAAGCTGCTTCAGAATGGAAAATTAGACTCTGTGTTTTTCCTCAAGATCTATCTTAACTTGATTTTACTTTCCTTGGAGGAGAGGTGTGCCTCTTGGCTCAAACTCCTAAAATGCAGATGCTAATGTCTGGGCATTTATTGACTGGACATATCACACAGAAACCACATCAAGCTGGACCTTGGAGAAGCATATCTAACTAAGTCCTTTAGAGATATGTCAAGTGTCTACTCTGGTGAAAAGACTGTCATTCCTAGGCATTGGAAAGTGAGGTTACCTGGACATTAGCATCTAAAACTCTTCAGAGCCCAGCTCACTTGAACTTACCTCATTGTTCACTCCTACGAACTTCCAGTCTTTCTTGAGTGTAACCAGGAATGTGAGGTGGAGATGTTTTTTAAAATAAAACCTTGCTTTCTAGTACACCAATATCAGAATGACTGGGGCTCCTCCTTTCCCTCTTCTCCCTCCAATATGGTGGGACTTTCCTTGCTTAAGTCTACCATTTCTTAAGCAAGCTGAAATTTGAGTAAGCCATGGACACCAAAATTTAGAGATAAGTAGTTTTAATCTAAGAGCTTAGCAGATGAGTTCTTATTCTCCACCACTGAGGCTAGGAACAGAAATGAGAAGTAGCTGATATATCACAAAGGCCTCTATCCAAGAGTCACATGCCCTGGATGCTCCTTGGCTTGTTCTTCACTTGCTCTGTGGCCATGAACATCTGCCTCTCTAGGATTCAGCGTCCTCACCTCTAATGTGGTAATAAAATCCTTTCTCTACTCTCTGGGCAAGGTTTTTGAGAAGATAGAATAAGATGGTATATGGGAACATGATTATGAACACTGTAAGGACTATACCACGAAAAATATGATTATTAAAGAAATCAGGGGAGATAGCTGTCAGGAAAATATTTTACTTTCTGCCTTGGATCTAACTTGTCCCATTTCTCGTGGCTCCCATCATAATCATCAGAGTGTTATTGTGTAGCTGGTAAATTGTGGAAAATGGCTAGCCCTCTCTCAAGCTTTGTCCTTTGCTCTATGGGACCTCTCCACTCACTGTGAACATCTTGCAGTTTGGCTCAGGACAATGTCAAGTTCTTCTAGGAACTCTTCCACTGTATTCTTCAATGACATCCCCAGAATGGCTCTTAACATTCTGCAGCTCAGCAAGCATCCAGCGGGGCAGTGAGTAGGGAGATTAGTGTTTCCCTCCAAGTGGGGCTGGGGCAGTGACAGGGCAGTAGCCTGTCTGGTTTCGTCTTCATAAGTCCTGTGGTTGCTTCTCTGTAGAATGTAAGAACTTAGGGTCTCTGAGTTAGCAATTTTGGAGCAACAGATAGCCCCACTCAATATCCTCTCGTACTAGTTTTAACTAAGCTTTAGAATCTATATAATGCTGGCATCTTGTATGGTTTGTAGATCTTGTAAAAATATGTAAGTTTAATTCTGTGTTGGGGATGCTATGCCCTAATCCATAGAAACAAAGTAGTAGTTTCCTGTCTCCCCACTATGTGATCTCTTTAAGACAGTGAAACCTGGTCCCATTGGATCCAGAGAAGATACTGTGGATGGGTCAGGGAAAGGGATTAGCTCTTTAGATTCCCCCGCTAGATGGGTATTATAAGGATATTTAAGAAATTATCAGACCCTTCTAGGATCTGCATGAAATTCTCAAGATGACCTTACCTTCTGGATCCTGACATCTCCTCCTGTAGTTAGCAGGATCCAGCTTCCCAACCCCAGCCTTCTCTTCTTCCACCTTCATAACTATAAAGTAAAAGATGAAAATAGCCTCAAAATATATAAAACACAAAGGTAGGATTTCAAGGAGAAATGATCAAATCCTCATCCATAGTGGAGACCTTAAGGCAGATGAAAAACTTAAGGCAACAGAAGGTATAAACAAATTGAAGAAGCTCAAGTATCTGTCTCTAACAAATAGAGAACAGATCTCTTTTTCAAGTACAAATGGAACATTTATAGAAAGCATATATCTAGTTCACAGGAAAGCCTTAGTAAATTTCAAAGAATCTGTATCATAGTTCTACATTAAGAATATATATGTATACACATATATATAAGTTTACAAACTAAAGGTAATTTCTACTCATGGGTTTAATAGGGAACCACAATGAAAATTATTAAATAATTAGAACTTAATAACAATTACATCTACTAAATATTGAAACTTATGGGATGTAACATATTTAGAGGAAACAGGGAAGGAAGGAAAGAAGGGAGGGAGGAAAGAGGGAAAGAGCAAGAGAGGAAGGAAGGAAAATAAATGTGATAAGCATTCAGCTGAAGAACCTAGAAAAAAAAAAACATGAGAAAACTCAAAGAAAGTAGAAAAATGTAAATATAAAATATAAAACCAAAATATAATGAAACAGAAACAAGAATAGAGATGGTTAGTAAACCCAAAGGTAATTATTTGAAAAGATTATTAGAATGGGCAAACTATGCAAAACTAATCAAGAAGAAAAAAGAAGATTCATAAATAAACAATATTAGGAATGAAAGAGACATAACTAAAAATATAGTGGAAAATTTAAAAATTAAAAGTGAATGCCATGAAAGACCTCATGCCAATACATTTTAACTTTGATGATAATAATAATAAAATAATAATTACCATTTCAATGTGCCAGGAACTATTTTAAATGCTCTGGAAGTATGACTTAATTGAGTCTTCTCAACAACTTTATGAAATAACTAACATTATTATTCCCATTTTACAGGTGAGGAAATGGAGGCACAGAGAGCTTAAGTGACTGCCCAAATGGAGGAACAGAGGTTCAAACCCAGACAATCTGTTTCTGGAATTAAAGCTCTTAGCCACAAAGCTGATAAATGGATATTTTATTAGAAAATAATAGAAGTGATCAAAATTGACTTAGAAAACCTCAATAACCAATAACCATTAACTGAAATGTTTATGGGAAAGTCATTACAAACAGCCTCCCCCATATTCCATGGATAATTATTGAAACTGGATTATAAGTACAAAAAGATCATTATATTTTTTCCTATTTTTGTTATGTCTGAGTTTTTTTCTATAGTGAAAAGAAAAACACCAGGAGCAGATAGGTTTTTAAAAATGTTTTATCTGAACCTCCAAGGATTAGAGAGTCTCTAACTGATTCAAAGTGGTTTTCAAAAGTAGAAAAAAAGGAAATTGGAGGTAGTAGATACATCTAAAGACTAGAATACAGGGAAGAATTAAAAGCCAGAGAGTTTAAAAAAAAAAAGCCAGAGAGTTGGTTAACAATCTTCATAAGGAGTCAGTTAAACACTCAGATCTCTCCTTCCTAGGCTCCTAAAATGTGCCCCCTTCTAGAATAAGGAGGAATTAAATCAGAACATCTTTGGGTAACTAAGGGCAAGAAGGAGTCATTTCATTGAGATGTGGGTGGGGGGTGGATATAAGCAAAGGAGTTAGCAACCCAGCTCTCTGCCTACTTGACTGGAACAACACTAAAGAAGCTTACACTTCCAGGTGGGAGGTTGGAGGACTTACAGATTCTGACATTTGGGGGACCTCTAACAAATGGTGAGGGCTCCACCCAATTGCCCACCAGGAGTCTATCACTCAGTAAGTCCAGCCTGCCAAACAGTTGTTTGGCAGCTCCACTCCAAAATGATAGCCAGCCAAGAATCATTGAATGACAGAAACCAAAACAAACAGGAAAAGAAGTCCAGGGAAACAGGAGCAGTGTAGGCACCTAAAGAACCATTTAAAAAGCATATAATTCATATCTGAAGATACTTGAAAGTAGCCTAGAAAAGACATCATCTCCATAACAAAAAGAAAAGTAGAATGCTATAAACCTGGAACTTTTAAAGAATAAAGAAGAACTCCTGAAAATTAAAGATATGCTAGAAGAAAAATTTCAGTAAAAGAGTTGGAACAGAAAGTTGAAAAATTATGTGAGATAATTGAGCACAAACACAAATAGTTTTTTAAATTGTAGGAAAAGGACAAAGAAATCAGAGGATTGATCCCGGGGTCTAACATCAAAGCAACAGAAGTTCTCAAAGAGATCAGAAAAAAATAATGAAGAGGAAATTATCAAGGACATGAGAATATTTCCCAAAACTGATGGATTTTAATTTCATGGTGGAAAGAATTTATTGAGAGCCCAGGAAAATGAATTGAAAACAAAATCCCCTCTAAGTATATTACAAAGTGTTAGAATATTACATATAAAGAGAAGACCTTAAAAACCTTCCAGAAGAAGAAAATAAGTCACCTAACAAAGAATCAGACTTGAAAACCAGCATTAGACACAACAGAAGCTATAAGACAATGCAGTTAGGCCTTCAAAAATGAGAAAATTATTTCCAACCTAAAATTCCAGTCCTAACCAAAATACCAAATGTGAGGGTAAAAAAGGGACATTTTTTGAACAAGAAATGTCATAAAACTATACCATTTATGCACTTTTTTCAGGAAGTGGTTGAAGGAAGAACTCCAGCAAGATAGAAGAGCATCTAAGAAAGGGATATAGCATCTAGAAAATGGGATTTACCACATAAGATTGGCACAGGAGGCCCTGCAAAGAAGCCGTGTAGCAGTCCAGAGAGCAGTGGGTCCATCTAGATCAGGCTCTCCACAGGTTCTCCAAGAAAAATTTTTTTCAAGAATAAAGAGTCATGGAAAGGAGGAGTGATTACTGAACACTATGTAACTCAAATGCAAGCAATATTTATATAGTCATAATAAATAAAAATATTAATTTAACCAAAAACTGACATAAGCAGGGTTGGTATTCCACCAGTGTGTAGTATTATGCATGTGTTGTTGCTTGTGGCTGATGTTCAGGTATCTATTCTGATTGGTCAGTGCCAATGTCATATGGGCTATTAAATATTTTTAATATCTACATTGGATATAAGTATTTGGAGAGATAAGGATTTGTCAGGGGGATGGGAGTTGTAAGACACCTGTAGAGGACAGTGCTAGTTACTTGCCTGATGTCCATTCCTCTTTCTGCTCTGATTTTATTCAGGGCAGCAATGTGGCTGACTAAAAATAATCACTTCCCCCTAATGCCCTTCAACAATCTCTAAAGAGATATAAGAGAAAGAACCTAGGAAAAGATTCTCTTCCTGGGTGAAGCTTCTGCAGAAGAAAGCTCCTCCATTTTTTCTTCTTCCTCCCTGGATAAGATTGTCAGATTTAGCAAATAAAAATAGAGTTTTCCCAGTTAAATCTGAGTTTAATATGCACAATTAATATTTTTAGTATAGGGATCCCTGGGTGGCGCAGCGGTTTAGCGCCTGCCTTTGGCCCAGGGCGCGATCCTGGAGACCCGGGATCGAATCCCATATCGGGCTCCCGGTGCATGGAGCCTGCTTCTCCCTCTGCCTGTGTCTCTGCCTCTCTTTCTCTCTCTCTCTCTGTGACTATCATAAATAAATAAAATTAAAAAAATATTTTTAGTATAAGTATTGCAGTATTGGGGACATACTTATACCAAAAAGATTACTTATTATTTATACAAAATTCAAATTTAACTCAGCAAACTGTACTTTACCTGGCAAACTATTTCACCTCTGTATCTGGAGCATGGACATTATACATGGAAGTGCATCAGCCATCTTGTCATCATGGAAATGAAGGCCAATGCTAATTGTGGAAACAAGGGGAGGAAGGATTCTGAAGCTTAATGTCTTCACAGCACTAGACAGCCCCCACTGGTTTTCTTGTTATGGAGAAAATTAGGACACTTACTTGTTCAAATACTATAGTTAACTTTTCTGTTACTCAAAACCACACCTAGGTCGGTCATAGGACAAAAGACTCTGAGGCAGTATTTACTGGAAAAATAAAATTAGGTTCTGTTAATAAGAAAAACAGGGAGAATGGGCCCTGAGTGGTCATGTAACAGTGTCTGCTACATTTTCCAACATCCAATCCCTCCTGTGTTGCCTGTTCTGTTCAGATAGAGACACAGGGCCCTTCACAGCTGTATTCACCTTCCCCAACTTCAGGCACGAATTGTGATCTGCGTAAATTATTTGTGGCAATCGTATGGCCTTTGTCCTAACCAATCTTAGGAGTAGTCATGTAACCCTATTAAGCTAGTGAGATTTAAATGGAAGTCCCTTGGGTAAGACTTCCAGGAAAACTTTTATTTTCCTAATAAATAGTGACTGATGCTTCTGGAATGCACGTTTGGCCAATTACCCTCCCTATTTTCCTGCACAGACCTCGGTCATGAGACTTCTAGATGAAGCAGCCTTCTTGCAACAATGATGTGACAGGTATGAAGAGCAAAGGCTCAGGCTGAGGACAAAGCAGAAGGCTAGAACAAATCTTGGTTCCTGATAATGTCACTGAGCTCCAGACTGCTTATCTCTGGGCTTCCTGTTACATGAAAAGAAATCTACTTTGTATATTTAAATTGCTAGCCAAGTTTTATGTTACTTTTAGCTGAAGACCTTCCCTGGGTGCCTGGTGGCTCAGCCAGTTCAGCATCCAAGATCCCCTCAGGTCTTGATCTTGAAGTAGTAAATTCAAGCCCTGTGTTGGGCTCCACAATGGGTGTGAAGCCTACTTAGAAATAATAATAATAGGGATGCCTGGATGGCTCAACAGTTGAGCCTTCGGCTCAGGGCGTGATTCCGGATTCCTGGGATCAAGTCCTACATAGGGCTCCTTGCATGGAGCCTGCTTCTCCTCCCTCTGCCTGTGTCGCTGCCTCTCTTTCTGTGTCTCTCATGAATAAATATTTTTTAAAAAAGAAAGAAATAATAATAAT